CACTTTACTTCACTGTACTGCTGTCACCTTACATTGTGTGCACCATGTGCCCTCGTATATTGTAAATAGTAACTGTAACTCTATTTTAAATTTAAATGTATTCTTTAGAAGTTTTTTATTCTTATTTTTATTATTTCTTTTTGACTGTTGCACTGAGCCAAAGCAATTTCCAAGTCTGTGACCTCCTGTTACTTACGTGGCAATAAAAATTATTCTGATTCTGATTCTGATAAATCTATCTATGCCAAATATTTCTGTGTGCCTATATTGCACAGCGTGTATGTATATGAGTTCATTATCAAACTGCAATCTTCAACATGTTTTGTTATTGACAGTACATTTGAAAGGGTTTTCTCAAGAAGGGGTGAAACTATAAAAGATCTGGTAATTCTAAAAATGACTTGGTAAAGGAAAAAGTGTAGCCTTTTATAGCACTAATCATATATTGCATGTTTATTAATCTAATTTGAATTTTAACAAATGGGGAATCTAAGCAAACTAGCCTAAATATCCAATAGTTTTTGCAAAATCCTCTAAGCAAGAAATTAAGATAAAACAACATTTGACACTTTAAATGGTATATCGATATGTGTTATGGGATTCTAAACATGTTAGTCTGCCTCTAATGAATATAAATAAGACATTTTTAACCCACTTTGGAATTTCTTAGTCTTGCAGAATACTCATATCAATAAAATGACCTCCAAGACCGTTTATATATAAATATTGATCTGTTTGTTTATGAAAGTAGCACAGAGAGCTTCCCAATAAGCATGGTGACAGTGAGCACTTGAACTGTTCCCATGGTAAAAGACAGAGTGGTACATGGCGGTGGAAAAAACCCGCTGAGGAGATCTATAGACAGAGACTTTTCCCTCTCAGCGCCACGTTCTTCCTGCAGTGAACCCAACGCTCCCTCGTCATCATTATATTAACGGCACCACAGGACGAGGCTCCGCGGCGCAGGTGGAACAGAAGTGGCAGCAGATAAAGTACACCCTGCACTCTCACACAGGAGCTGATACAGTATCATATATAAAACATCAAGGAGCTGAAGTTTGGACAAAAAGTTTGGCCTTTTGGGAAGAACTGTAGTGTATAGGCAAGAAACTTTACGCAGAGATTAAAGGATATGTATAAAACCTATTGCTAAAGCCAATAATGTGCATTAGGAAAAAAAAAAAAAGATAAATGTTTCTGGTCTTGTTGTGACCCAGTGGCTGCAAGAGTGGGCAGCATGGGGTCTTTACTTTACTTTTTACTTTTGCCAAGAAAACCTTCCAGGGAGTTGATCCGATAGCAGAGACCACGGAACATTAAACCACAGCACTACAGTATATTTGTCATTCTGTGTTAATAACTTTAATAACTACCATTGTTTTTCTCCAGCGATGCACAAAAATTGTTTTTTTGTAAGATCAAATCCTGTTAAAATAATTATAAAAACAATATTAGTATGTAAGTAAGTAAGTACAGCACCAAAGCACTTTACAATGTTCAGATATTGTTCCAATCATTTTGCACACGGCGATGACGGAAACGAGTCGCCGATCAGACTGGAGCATCAAAGCCCCCAATCAACACCATCCATTCACTCTCTCATTTACATTCATACCTACGCAGACACGGGGAGAACATGCAAAAGTCACTTAGAAAGGCCCTGTTCCGATCGGGATTCGAACCCAAGACCTTCTTGCTGAGAAGCGAGAGTGCTAACCACTCTCAAGTCAAGTGTAATGAACTACAATCATCAGAACCAATTGAATAAATACTACAATACATTTGTGCTTTGATGTACATTTTATGTTGATAAGTTAGCATTTTTGCTCAATTACAAATATCTAAATCTATATATTCGAATTCAAAACTATCTTATTTCTTAATGTGTACAGAGCAGAGTTTTTGTGAAGTAAATTTCTCCTCTTGGTCAAAAAACCCCTTCGTAATATTGTACATAATTATCTTGCACAAAAGAGACTATATTTTAACTTTTTAACATGTTTGTGCACTTCTGTCTTTTCACACACCCTGAGTGATTCTATCCGTGCCAAATATGACTTTTACATTTCTCCATTGTGAGATCAAGTTTATCTCATCTTAAACCAGTTTCTTCTTCTTTCGTTCATATGGCTGGACTTGCTCCATCCCCCCTGGTGATCCCGTTGGCCTGACCTAACCTACTGAAGCTCTCTCATGGGGCGAGCAGGAGCAGACGGCTGAGAACTAACCACTTGGAAAGTTGTAGTGAAATGAGTGGTAAAAACTCAAGTGGCCGGAAGGATATATCTGTGTGTTTGTTTCTGTCGTAGATCTCAGAGGACGTGCGAGCCACTCTGTCTAGTGCCGCTGAAATGGATCTGTTTCAAATGGTGAGGGCACTTTTCATGGAGAAAAGCTCCAGGGAGTGAGGGCGGAGAGGATGACAACAAGAGTAGCATGTGTGTCTTCTGGATTATTTACTTACACATCCTTCTGACACAACATTGATATTCAAATTCAACTGGAAGTATTTACCTTTGGTGTGATGCAATAAGTAAGAATGTTTCTGTGTGGAGTGAGTCTGCTGTTGATTGGCTAAACAAACATGTAGTTGGTGTCTTCCAAGCCCCGGCGATCCAAGATGGCGCCATATTCAATGAATGCTTGTGCTCAGTGGCGCTTTGTGCCGGCATGGGGGCTGAAAGATTAGCGGAACTCGCCTGGAACTCGCAAAGATCCATGGGAAACTCGCCTGCATTTGGGCATCGTCTGGTCCTCCCGGTTCTGCGCAGTGGATGATCTCCCATGATGCGTTGCGCAAATACGATGTGTGGGTCTGACACGGGGTCTCACGCATGTGCACAGAGGGGCTCGGCCGCGCTCTGACCAATCAGAGCAGTTTTTCAGAGCGGGAGTTAGAGCGGGAGCCAGACGAGCAGAGTTTGTGGCAGTAAAGTGTGGATTTAAAGAAAACCGAAGGATTTAGAAGAAAAAAAGTTCAGGATGACAAGGGACACAAAATTCCCCGCAAAATCCGAACGTTATGAAAGCTATAGGTTCTCTGTCAGCTGAGGTCGAGCTGTTTTAACATACATTGAGTTCTATGGGGAAAATTTCTGGGTAGCCCACGTGAATTTAGTCTGGTTTAGTCTGCAGTACCGCGAGAATCCCCTGAGCACATGAGTTCTTCAGTTCCAAGATAGTAATACCCTATCCAGTTAATATAATAGATCCATGGTGCCTTCCTACCTGTCATTATGTGGCCTGTTGACTCATTTGGATAAGCATTTCTTCTCTAGTTGTTTTGAGTTATACTGTCTGTGTGTCACACCTGTGTCTCCTTCCTTGTATTTCGACACTGTGCTCCTGTCCTATTGTTGTCTGTTCATTGTTGTTTTCCCCTACCTTTTGTTCCTGGTTTTAGTTTGGATTTGTGTACCTGTTTTTATCTTGGATTTGGTTTCATTCAATAACATTACATTTTTATTTGTAGTCCTTCATTTTGGTTTCTTCTTTTATTTTTCAGCACATGACATTACCACTGAAAATGGTAGCTTGACCAGCCAGAAACACATTATTTTACACTAATTATTTACACATTTACGATCTGGTCCGGATCTTTCGCTCGAGTTGCCCATTTCATATCCGTGTGGTCACGTTTGATTCGACAATTGGTGCCAGCAATTTTTTTTTAGATGTTTTTCAAAAGTAAGTAGAGCCCATTCACTTTGCATAATTTGTATTAAAAACAATCAATCACTACATGCAACGGCCCCCATCTTGGATATTTGAGCAAAGCGAGTTCTGTGTTAATACGCCCAGTCCCAGACACTTCTGCATTTGAATAGAATGTAGAAGTGCTGTTCAGAGAAGAAGAAAAGCAAGTATTTAATCAGTCTTAAAATTAGTCGTGAGGTGTTGCTCATTGGTTTTTTTTAGGTTTTGAGTAATACAGATCATTAATGTTATTGGAAGATTATCTTTATTCAACTGGCAAATAAAGTAGATAAGTGCTAGTGGGACATTGGTTAGATGCTGTTGTATTGTATTGTATTGTATGTAGGCTCAAGTTTCCACTACCATAACACGTGCATAATAGACTTGCCCAAAAGTAAGCAAGTGAGTAATCTTTATTTATCTAGCGCATTTCACAGACCAAGGCCACACAAAGGGCTTTACAATTTTGGTGTAATTCCCATTCACTCCACACACAGTGATGACAGAAGTGAGACCCCAAACACACTGGCACATCAAAGCTCCCAACCATCACAAGTTATTCACTCACACAAGACAATTATAACCTATTGTACATGTTTGTAGTGGTAGGGGAAACCGGAGCACCCGGAGGTAACATCTGTGCCACCATTGTTTGTTAAGACAGACTGTGTTTAAAAATGTCTTCACTTTTTTGTAATGTCGCTGGTGTGTGCCTCAGATATGCACGTTCTTTCAAACTCCTATACGATTACTAAACGCCTTGTCTGACTATAAATAAAAAATAGGGAGAACGAAAAATTTTGCTGTATTATGTAACATGGCGAGTATGAAATATTGAAGAGCGGGAAATCAGACCGGGGATTTTTGTTCTACTTTTTGTGCTTGAGAGTGAAGGGTCGGAGTGTGTTTTGAGGTCCTCACAGTGTGTTTTAGGTCCTCCCAGTGTGTATGAGGTCCTCCCAATGTGTTTTAGGTCCTCCCAGTGTGTTTTAGGTCCTCCCAGTGTGTATGAGGTCCTCCCAGTGTGTATGAGGTCCTTACAGTGTGTTTTAGGTTCTCCCAGTGTGTATGAGGTCCTCCCAGTGTGTTTTAGGGTCTCCCAGTGTGTATGAGATCCTCCCAGTGTGTTTTAGGTTCTCCCAGTGTGTATGAGGTCCTCCCTTTGTGGATGAGGTCCTTCCAGTGTGTTTGAGGTCCTCCCAATGTGTTTCAGGTCCTTCCAGTGTGTTTTAGGTCCTCCCAGTGTGTTTTTGAGGTCCCCCCAGTGTGTTCACCGCGTGAATGGACTTTGGTGGAGGACTTACTGATGAAGTTGGTCTGTCCAGTGTAGATGGTGTACTGGAGCTCGTAAGAGGTGACGCTGAACTCATCCTCAGACGTCCAGTGAACGGTAATGGTGTCATGGGAGGCCGTGCACAGCTCCTCTCGTATGGAGGGAGGGGTCGGAGCTGAACACACACAGTTACAAAGCACGTGGTTATCAATACAAGAAAAAGAAGAAGCCGTTTTTAGATAGCAACTCAATGCACATCACAAGGGGCATGCAAAAAATATGAAATATAAGGAAATAAATACTTTAATATCTTGAATTGAGAACTTTTTGGCTGTCTTAAAACAAGATTAGGCAAGGCGAGGAAGGTTTATTTGGATAAAACAGTTTGTACACAAGGCAACTCAAAGTGCTGAACAAAACAAGAAAAGAAAACCAGGGATTAGAATAATAAATAATTAAAACGAGTGAAGATGCAGTCCTTGTGTTGTGTGCACAGCTAAACACAACGGAACAAGCTCAAAGGGAAACTAAGGGATACTTGCAACTGATGAAGTAGCGGTGGCGTTAAAAGTCTAACAAAGGTTGTAAACCGCTGCTTTTTGTTAACTGTAATCTCATGAGGAGCATTTCTAATTTAGGGAGAGTCTTTGCTTGTTGCAGAGACTCAGCTGCAGCTGTAGAGTTTCTGTTCTTCTCACCTGTTAGATAGTCAAGTCCTTCTAGGATCTTCTTCTCTCGGGAAAAGTCCAGTGCAAAGTTGTCGAAAGCCTCATTGAGGTTGACGTCAGGGATGAGGACCTGGGAGGAGGCCGTTGCCATGGCAACCCTGCAGAGGGAGCAGACAGAGTTTGAGTTGTGTAAATGGGTGGATAAATGTCAGAGGAGAAGAGTACAAGAGGTCACAGACGGATTACTCACATTAAAGACATATTTTATCATCAAACTATTTTATTAGTCAACAAGTGCATGAATAGCCACTGTAGCAAATCTACTCATGGGCATTGTGGGAGGTTTTCCCTGCTGATGTCTTTAAGTTAAAGTGGCATTAGCCACAATATTGCACCACATCATTAATATCACACTGACAAACGCAGCTAAAACATGGACACATGTTGGAAAGGCAGACGGACGAGGCCTGCAGGGGAACTGGGAACAAGCCCATTATTACTCCAGAAATGGAAAAATAAATTGAAGATCTGTCGAAGTAAAAACTATAAATGACTTTTAACAGAGAGGTGATGTTGATTTGAGCACTGATCCAACATTCTTCTTATTTCACTTCCTGGTGTTTTATTTTATTGATGAGTGAAATGAGTGATATTAATACTATATTTACTGTTGAAGTGTAAAACAGTTGAAAAGTACTAATCTGTTGAGATAAAAAAATCACTCACTATAATATCATGACACACCATTATAACTAGTACAAAATACTGAACCTTGTTATAGTGCAAACATTGTAAATACTTGAGGGGTATAAGAACCAAATCTAAAGCCAAGAGTTAGATAAGTCTCAGTCAACTGAAAATGTGTAAAACTGGCAGAAGAAGATAGAATCCAAAACATGTAGAACATAAGTTTAGAAGACGTCATTGCAATGGACCCTGCAGTGGCCAGTCAGGCAAACCTCCTTTCCCTTTAAGCCAATCATTTCAAAACGATTTACCCATTGCTACAATTATTCAATCACAATATTAAAGATGAAGCCGAGCGCTGCTACTTATCCACTGATTTCTTTTGCACTTTCATCTGGTTCTAATCATTTCAAATATTAACAATCCATGAACTCAGAGCAGGGAACTGCATTAGCGTTTCTGTAAGACAAAGGTGTCAAACTCATTTTGATCAGAGGCCAAATAAAAAAAGAGGAACTGGTTGGAAACCAAAAGAGCAGAAGATATTTCCTTTTCTTATAAATGATTTTTTTACATTATGAAGGTATTATGACATGACTTTAATGTGACAGTTTCATGATTTTTTTCTGAAAACAAAATGTTTAGATATTACCAAAACTGTACCAAATATAAAGTTAAACACATTGTTTTACATTAAACTTTTTCACTTCTAATGATTTGTTGAGTTAAACTAAATTTCCTGAGAAAACAGATGATGTAAAACATGTCTCTGCAGCACATTACTATCAATGCTACAATTTAATACAAATATTTCAAAATCATTTTAGGGGCCACTAAAAATGGTCTTGCGGGCCAGATTTAGCCCACGAGCCAGAGTTTGACATGCTTGCTCTAGGAGGTCGATCAGTCCTCAGTCAGTCACAGTCGCGGATAAATCACACAGATCTCGTCCCCTCCCAGACTACACACATGCAGTATGTTTGTAGAGGATTGAAAAAGCGTGTATTCTGGCTGACGAGGCAACCAACAATGTGGCCTTTGGGAGAGTTTAGCCCCAGTGAACCTGTCAACTGCGTGCACAGTGAAGCGCTTTACCTCTCTGCGATGTTCCGGGCGGTCTGCAGGAAGCGCGCATGGTCGTTCTCCTTCAGGCTTTGCTCAGCCTGTGTGATCAGGGCACTGGAGCGCTCCAAACACTGGCGACAGTTGGCCATTTGCTGGGCCAGCTTACGCAACTTCATCACCTAAAAAGCACAAAAACAAATGTTTACAACATCAGCACTATTAGTGCAAGGTCCTAAATAGTCCAGGTTTTGATAAAATTATTACACACATGCAATTCAGTTCAATTTACAGCCCTAAATCACAACAGTAGTTATCTGGGAGGACTTTACAAAACCATTGAATTTACCAACATAGATCAGAGAATCAAAGTTTAAACACAAGCAATGTAATGATAAAAAACATATTGTTCAAAAGGGGCAGAGGAATGTTGTTGCAATTCGAGTGTCCTGGATCATCACCACACACCTAGTTAGAAATATAAGCTGAGGCTGTTGAAATATCATCATACTATATGGCAGTAATAGAAGTACACTGCTCACAAAAACTTAGGGAACACTCAAAAAACACATCCTAGATGTCAATCAATTCGATTTTTTTGGATTAAAATCTTTATTCATAGCGTGTTGAGAACAAAATAACATCAAAATGATAACTGGAAATCAAATTCTCAGCCCCTGGAGGTCTGAATCCAAAATTAGTCGAAATCAAAGTGACAAATGAGGTAACTGGTTGATCCAAATTCTATAGCACTCAGTAGTGCGTGTGGCCTCCACGTGCCTGAATGCACTCTCTATAATGCCTAGGGAATGCTCCTGATGAGACCACGGAGGTCCTCCTGAGGGATCTCCTCCCAGACCTGGATTAGAACATCAGTCAGATCCTGGATAGTCTGTGGTGCGACGTGGCATTGATGGATGGACCGAGACATGATGTTACAGATGTGCTCTATTGGATTTAAGTCTGGGGAACGGGCAGGCCAGTCCAAAACATTATTATTATTATTTCTTTATTTGATAGGGACAGAACAAGAAGCATTGTTACAGGAACCGATGCTGTGTTCATAGGCCGTATAGCTAACAGCTAGTTTGCAGACCTGGTCCCTAAAACCTAGAAATACATCACATTTACATTATACATACATCATTATATTAAAAAAATAAGTAATAAGTTATACTAAATAATAAACAAGAATACAATACAAAATACAAAAAATAAAAATAAATAAAAGAATACAATAAATGATTACAGTCTTGCATTATGCTCACAAGTTTGGGTCCTTTTGAGCCATAGTTTGACTTTAATTTTAAACTCCTTCAAGTCTGTTAGGGCTTTCAGTTCTGCAGGTAACGTGTTCCAAAGCTGTGGCCCTTTCACTGCGAACGCAGTCTGTCCAAATGATGTTTTACATCTTGTTGCTCTGCAGTCTCTATTGGCAGCGCCCCTAGTGGTCATCCTGTGAGCTACACATATCTCCATCATTCCTGCAGCGATATTGGGAGCGAGGTTGTTTACACATTTAAAGACTAGTTTAATAAAAAAGTATGTTATAAAATTATCAAAACTTAAAAGATTATATTTTTCCTGAACTTTGCAATGGTGCCACAAAGTGGGCTTTTTATCGAGCACATCAATACCTTCATCATGCAGGAACTGCTGACCCACTCTTGTCACATGTGGCCTGGCATTATCATGCATCAGAAGGAACCCAGGGTCCACAGCACCAGCATATGGTCTTACAATAGGTCTGAGGATCTCATCCCGGTACCCAATGCCAGTCAGAGAACCTCTGGCTAGCCCATGGAGGGCTGTGCGGCCCTCCAATGAAATGCTTCCCCGGATCATCACTGACCCACCACCAAACCGGTCATGCTGGATGATGTTGCAAGCAGCAGAACGTTCTCCAGGGCGTCTCCAGACTCTGTCACGTCTGTCACATGTGCTCAGGGCGAACCTGCTCCCATCCGTGAAGAGCACAGGGCACGATTGGCCAATCTGCCAATCGCTGTGTACTCGGGCAAATGCCAATCGGGCTGCACGGTGTTGGGCAGTAAGCACCAGCCCAACTTGTGGACGTCAGGCCCTCATACCACCCTCATGGAGTCGGTTTCTGACCGTTTGAGTGCCAACATGCACATTTGTGGCCCTCTGGAGGTCATTTTGTGGGGCTTGGGTAGTGCTTCTCCTGTTTCTTTGTGCACAAATGAGCAGATAGCGGTCCTGCTGCTGGGTTGTTGACCTCGGCTGTCTCCTGGTATCTCCTCCATGCTCTGGACACTGCGCTGGGAGACATAGCAAACCTTCTTGCCACAGCACGAATGGACGTGCCATTTTGGATGAGCATCATTCCCTAAGCAACTTCTGTGGGTTGTAGATGCCTCCTCATGATACCTCTAGTGGTGAGAACACTGGACAAATGCAAAAGAGTTCCAAAGATATGGTACAAAGGATTAAGAAAGGGAAATGGTAATGGCAAAACCATTCCTCTTTTAGAGGGATCTTGCTCATTGCCTCTCATTTCCACCAGTTGTCTGTTTAATATCCACAACATCAGGTGAAATTGATTCACAATAAGTGTGGCTTCCTAACTGGACAGTCTGATATCCCAGAAATTTGACTGACTTGGAGTTACATTGTGTTTTTTAAGTGTGCCCTAAGTTTTTGTGAGCAGTGTATATTTACATACAGTTGTAGCTGTAGTGGTTTTGGGTAATAAACAAGCTATATTTGTATGCTTCATGAACAAAGACTGCAGAAATATACAAATATACACAAGAAAAACCAGATATGAAACACCCTGCCATCTCAGACTTTTGCATTCTGACAATCTCACATTTATTTTCTGAAAAACTGTTGACAAAATGATGCAAAAATCAGGTACAAAGTCAGCAGTGGGAGCCTCTCGGGATGGTACCCGCTGTGCTCACACCAGGTAAAACGCAAACACCAACTCTCCTGCAAACCTCCGCAAACTACTGGAGGTGTTTGGAGAAAGATCAAATACAATTCATTTTTAGAAGTTTGTGGAAGCCAGAAGTGCCAATCTATAAGCAGCATTAGTTAGTAGCTCAAAATTGTGAAGAAAAAAGTGTGTTTTTCCTTGGTATCTTACGTTATACAGTTTGCATTATATAGCTAGCTTCTAAGGTTTTTTTTCTTCTTTAAAAAATAAATAAAAGTCTATAGTCAGTCCCAACAAGTTTCGACACAGTGATAGTAAACATCCCCTCTCTCCCAACACAAACACAGCTTCCATTTTGGGGGTAAAGCTTTGAAAAGGACATTGCAACAGCCTAACAGGATTTCTTATGCTCGATTATAGAGAGCGAATCCGTGCAAGGTGCTTCCTTTCTCTTTCCAGCCTTGTATCGTTCTAAAAAGGCACAGTCTCTGAGGAAAGTCTGCCCTTCGCCAAATCTCTGCCCAAACAAAACATGCATGTCCTTCAAGTGTCTACTGCGTTTGACTTTTTGTATTATTTCATATTCTCAGACATCAAGGTCAACAACGTTAAATAACATCGGACAGAGAAGCCAATTTAGTCGTGGAGAGGAAGTAGGTTTTGTTGAGTAAATATTCTTTGCATTACTCTCACAAGTTATGTCAATCACGCATTATGCCAATTGGGGAGATTATCAACCTTAAGATAGTAAGTGACCTATTGTATGTGGAGAAAGCAGGGAGAACATGCAAACTCCACACCGAAAGGCCTTGTCTGTGGGTGGAATCAAACCTATGACAGGACCCTCTTGCTGTGAAGATAGAGTAGATAGAGTAATAGATAAATAACAGGGCTTGGGTCAGAGTTTTGGGGCCGTATAGGCGCAGCAGTAAAGTACACACAAAATATTTCAGATACATTTTGTTAGTTTGAATCAGGACACCTCAATTATACTCTTCTTGTTTAAACCCTGCATGAATTGTGGTTCGTTTTTTAAAAACCATGGAAATACCATCTTGGTCAGACGTCAGATGTTCTGTTATTCTAGTTACTCAACCAATTTATTCACGAGACAATTCAAGTCAAGTCTTATGTGTATCTGTCTGGACCTGATATAATGGACCCTAAATGTGTTGGCATCCATAATTATTTCTTTCTTATCTATTATCTAACACGTTATATTCAAACATATGACATGAATCCACTTTTTAAATATTGTTCTTGCTGAGACCTTAAATATTGAGATTTATTTGATTTAATTTGTTGATTTAGAAATTATTGCTTGACCAAATGGACTTATCGCTTATCTCCAGTGAATAAAGTGGTTTCTTCAAACGAGTAAACTTCTGGACTGGTTTCACTCGGTTACATTATTGTGGCAAACGCAATGTGTAAAATAAAAAAAAGCTCCAAGAAAAGTAATTTGGTAACTTCAGAAGGACCTGCCTGGAAGTAGAGCCTCGGCCTCAGAATCCTGATGAGGCAGCACTGTCAGATGAGTGTCTAAAGAGTTCTGCTTGAGCTTCGGAGGGAGATGACAAACTGACACACACCAACACGCTTCTGAGAGAACGTAGTCAAGGCTAAATGTTGTCTGCGCCACATGTTGCTAAATAATAGCCCATTACATCTGCTTCGCTTCTGTGCTCGGGACACTCAACAGCCGGCTGCAGTGACAACAACAGATTAGGGCTGCTTAAGGGAAGAGCAGCTCAGAAGTCAAAGAAAGCTCTGGCCTTTAGATTAAACACATTTCAACATGAAACTTAAGATGAAACAGGATTTGTGTTAGGCTCTTATTTATTTGAAGATTATTGCGAAAGATCTATGAGAATAATGTTTGCCTGTGTTGGAATGTGCCACAGGATTTTTACAGGATTACTAACTTCTTCAAGCGTGTGACATGTTGAGTGGGTGGGTTTATGGGCCTGCTGTAGCTGTTTAGATACTTTTAAAAGTACTTCAACAAATACTAACAAACTAATTGAAAGCAGTGAAAAAGTGAAGCAGGTGTAAAGAGGCTTTGTTCCCCTCTCGACTCCATTTCCTATCATTCTTGTCCTGTCTGTAGTCTGGGTCCATGCACACGCAAACCACTTTAGATAATTTGGAGAATCAGGATATGAGAGGTAATGAATGTAAGTGGATTAGTTTAGCTTTGAATTCTACAAAGTACTCTCCTTCTTACTGAATGGAAATTACATTACAATACAGTCAGCCAAAAGGGGCGGCATGAAACGC